GGATATTTCTTCTCCCGTGAGCTAGCTCCGAGTACAGCTAGTGAGACAGAACAGAGTGCCCTGTTCCAGGTGTGTTTGGAGTATCAACACTGGTAGCAACAGGCAGCTGTTTGCAGGGGTGTGTGTGGGTGGCTGGCTGGGGCTGTGCCTCACAGTCTCACGCTGGGCACAGTGGGCTCTGGTGGGCGGGGGGCGCCGGGGGCAAATGTGGAAGCTCGGTAGCTGTAGCTGTGGGTTAGAGACCCTGCACCCATGGGAGTCAGAAGTGACTCTGGGAAATATTTGTTGTCATTTATCTAACTACACGTCTAGGTTTTCCTTTATCTGTGTCCATTTGCAGTTGTGTGTGGCAGTGAGAGTCCGTGCACATTTATCTTTAATACAGCTGCTCTTATTTCTGTAGGAAAGGTCATTCGAGGGATCACTAGTCTAAGGACAGGCACACCTTTAAAACGGAGTTGCTACTGTCATCCTGCTTTCAGATTCTCAGTCCTTCCAGCAGACTGTGACAGCGTTTCCATGGCCCCGGGGACACTGGACAACATTATCTTCACCTTCTCCTCCTCCTCCTCCTCGTTTCTTCTTTCCCCGCCTTCTTTTTGGACAATCTTATGGGTAACATATATTTCAAATGCCTGATTAGTGAGATTGAGCATATTCTCATAGACTACTGGGCTATTTAAATTTCCTCTTCTGCGAGTATCTTCTCTTAGAAGGGTAGGATTTCATCGGGTAGAAGGATGTGAGAGAGGGAACAGGAAGAAAGACAATGGAAAGAGAATCTAAAATGAAAGCAGGGCACGTCCAGGAAGGGCAAGTATCCTGGAAGCTGCAGGGAGGTAAGGTGACAAGGAGGTACAGCTGGAAAGTAAGGAGCAGACAGCCCCAAAGGCCTTAAACCCCAGGAGGAAGCTCAGATTTTCCCCTGTGGGCAAAGGCGAAGCTCTGGGAGGATCTTTTCTGAGAAATAATACAGTCAGCTGCTGTAGAAGAATAAAGGCGAGAACAGATACTGGTGACTTAGAAACTGGATCCATTTAGTTCAGGAATGCATTACTGAGGATGCAAACGAGGTTAACGGCTGTGTGATTGGAAGCTATGAAGAAGGACATTGTGACCAGCTGGACGTGGACCAGGAGAGAGAAGGGACACAACTGTGACTTCTTGCGCTTTGCTGTCCTGGCTATTTGTGGACACCAGGAGGAGCAGGGACAGACAAGCCTTTATCAACCAGCTGTTTGCTGATTGCCATCTTCTCAGTAGAAAAGAAATGAAGAGGTAGAAGGTCCCCTCTTTAACAACTGGGGACCTTGAGTTTATGTAATTTACCCAAGAGGAGCTGGTTTGGAGGGAAAAGAATAAATTTTAGACCTTTTAGTTTTAGAGATAGCAACAAATGACAGTATGCATTCACGAGGGGTCTCGAGTTTGTTAGTTATATCACAACCAAGGTCTTTGCGTCTGTGGCCGGGAGAAGGCACAGGGAAGGCCTATGCCAAGGGCTTTTTCAAGGGCCCACAGAACACTTAAGAAGGAAATACTATCATTAGTGTTAGTATTGTCTCCAAAATAGGAAACTTATAAAATCAGAATCAATAAATGCTTAAAAAATTAGATTTTTTTTCACTTTATAAGAATTCCCTATTATGTATATACTTAAATAGTTTACTCTTAACCAAGTAATTTTAGGCAAATACATATACATATATATATATACATATACACACACACAAACACACACATACACACATATATATATATAAACACATGAATACTTATACATATAATAAATAATGGAAAGCCACTTAACCCGTGTTGTTCCTTTAATACTATGTGGTAGATACTATTATCCCTACTTAATGAATGAGGAAACTGAGTCTGGGAAGTGTTGCCTGATCTCAATTAGTCAGTAGCAGAGCTGAGATTCTAACCCAGACAGCCTGACTCCAGCGTCTAAGTTTCTGCCTACTTTGCCACAGCACCTGGAGAGTGAGCATGTTCTCTAACAAGGGAGAGGCAGTAGGAGCCAAAGATAAACACATAAGGAATATCTGCATTTTTCAGGAGCGGTAAGGGAAGATAGGAAGTGAGTCTGTTGAGAGGTTGCAGATGATGAGGTTGGCTCAGGCCGTAACGTTAGAAGAGGTAAGAGCCTCCGAGGCCAGGAATCTGCACCCAAGTGGTCGGTGAGGATGATGGGCCTGGATGTCCTGACTATTACACATGGGAAGTGCTCCAGGGAAGTGCATACAACGGAGGTCAGACAACAGCGTGACCCTAAGCGGGAGCTCGTGAAGAAGCAGAGGATTTTTGTAAGGACACATCCACAGACATACACACCTTTCTCTGCTATGTCCAGGTGTCAGTAAGAATCTGCCGTAGTTCAGAATGTGTTACCTTTTGCTTTTGGTTGTCTGGGATCTGGACTCGAGCCACAGAGGACTTCTGCTTTCCTCTTACCTACGTGTGACTGTGACCAAAGAACGCTCTCTGAGGACCCAGAATTTTCAGACTGAGGTTCTGGCCCTAAGCTGGGATTAACTGGATCAGTGTGGGAGCCGAGTTGGGTGGAGTGGGAATGGGGAGGCAGCATGTTCGTTTCCAGTGGTTGCCACTACAAAGTACCACAAACTGGGTAGCTTAAACAACAGAAATGTATTCTCTTATTGTTCTGGAAGCTTAGAAGTTTGAAATCCAGGTGTTGGCAAATTTGGTTCTTTCTGGAAGTTCCAAAGGAGAATCTGTTCCATGCCTCTCTGAGCTTCTGGTGTTTTCGCCAGCAATCTTTGGCATTCCTTGGCTTGAAGAGGCATCCTTCCAGTCTCCGCCTCCATGTTCTCATAGCATTCTCCCCTGTGTATCTGTGTCTGTGCCCAAATACCCTCCTTTCATAAGGACACCAGTCATTACATTAGGGCCCACTCAAATCTAGTATGAGCATACCTTAACTTGATTACATCTGCAAAGACCCTGTTTCCAAAGTCACATTCACCAGTACTGGGAGTTAGTACTTAAATATGTGTCTTTGGGGACCCAGTTCTGCTCTCATTCTTCACTTCTCTTTGTTTCCTTCTGTGACAGAAAAGTGTTGAACTCATTTAGTTTGACCAGAGGAGTGTTAGAGGATGGGGTATAACGGGGCTCCTGGGGTCAGGGAAACACTGACACCCTGGCGAGCTCTTAAGTCATTTCGCAGTGTCGGTCTCATCTCCTGAATGGGAAGAACTGCCCCAGCCAGTGGGGGAGTGAACTGCTTGGCATGTTTGTTTGTTTATCCACCTTTCACCAGGCTGAGTCTTTGCTTTCCTCTCTGCAGAAGCCGATCCAGCCATGGCGACTCCCTCTGCTGCCTTTGAGGCCCTTATGAATGGAGTGACAAGCTGGGATGTCCCCGAAGATGCCATCCCCTGTGAACTGCTTCTTATTGGAGAAGCCTCCTTCCCGGTGATGGTGAATGACATGGGCCAGGTTCTCATTGCCGCCTCCTCCTATGGCCGAGGCCGCCTGGTGGTGGTATCCCACGAGGACTACCTGGTGGAGGCCCAGCTCACTCCCTTTCTCCTCAATGCAGTGGGCTGGCTTTGCTCTTCCCCTGGGGCTCCCATTGGTGTACACCCATCCTTGGCCCCTCTGGCCAAAATCCTCGAGGGCTCTGGTGTGGAGGCAAAGATTGAGCCGGAAGTGAAGGACTCCCTGGGTGTTTACTGTATTGATGCCTACAATGAAACCATGACTGAAAAGTTGGTCAAGTTCATGAAGCGTGGAGGGGGCTTGCTCATTGGAGGCCAAGCCTGGGATTGGGCCAACCAGGGTGACGATGAAAGGGTTCTCTTCACGTTCCCTGGGAACCTCGTGACGAGCGTGGCCGGCGTGTACTTCACCGACAACAAAGGAGACACAAGTTCTTCAAAGTCTCTAAGAAGATGCCCAAGATCCCAGTCTTAGTTAGGTGAGTGTATTACCCCCGTGGGGACTTGGTCCCAGGTTAAAAAGCAGACAAATGGTTCTTGTCTTCAGGCTACTCCCAGGCTAACATAAGAGAATTTGGCACTCAAACATGGATTCACCATGAATCAACCAGAGTTTCAAAATACCTTAATGCACAGGAGGGGCAGGGTCCCTGTTGTTGCTGCCTCCTTGGACCAGATCACTTAGCTCTTTGAGGGGAGAAACATCCTTGTGACCATTTTGTCCCCCAGCATCTAGCTTAATAAAATATATTGCTGAATCTCAGAGCTGGCATGACCAATCCAGGAGGGTTCCCAGGAGAAGGTTGTTTGCGACTGAAATGTGAGAAAAAGGGAAAGAGACATAAAGCACCACAGAAGACAAAGTCTAGAGAACTGTGGGAAAGGTTTTGAAATATCCAGCCGGTTGGGATTAGGATGGAAGTAAAAATTAGAGGATTCAGAAGCTAAGATACCAGAAGAGCTGGCAAAAGTGATATGTGCTGAATCTTAAATCTTGGAGTGAAGAGAGGATTTTTAACCTCTGGGGGCAAAAAAATCAGATAATGGAGAATGAAGGAGGCAGGTGACGGGTGCAGAGTCAGGCTGGACGGAAAGCTCTTTGAGGGCATTGCCCATCCTGTTCCATTCACGTTGTGTTCCAGCACCTCACACGATGCTTAACATGGAGCAGGTTAGTAGGTGCTCAGTAAACATTTGTTGGATGGATGAAGAGAGAGATGAGAAGCTGGAGTTGTCCCAGGAGTAAAAAAAGTACACCAGGCCACTCCCTAAATTGTATGGGAAAACTCACAGCCTCCTTGGAGCAAAGAGTACTGGTGTTTCTGACCCAAGGCAGGACTGAGTGAGGCGGGCACACCAGGCATAGAAGAGAGACAGGGCATGAGCTGTGGCCTCTCTGAGGCATGGAACTCCTGCAACACCCACAGCTGCGTTCTCACATGTACAACGAGGGAAGAGTTATTCAGAGGCGCAATGATTGATCAGATTGGTCAAACTTCGGCTTATTGGTGATTTTCATCGTAAGGCACAGAAAGGGAAATGACAGCCATAACTGCTTTTAAACTGTGTAATCCCCTTTAGTTGCCTTAAAAGATGTTCTTTCGCTATCAAAGTCATACCTCTTTCTTCTTTAGCTGTGCCTATATCCCATCATCACAGTTTTTTTCTTTTTGGTTAGTCGTGTATTGCCAATACAGTTGGCCCTTGAAAAACCTGGGGGTTGAGGGCGCTGCTCCATGCAGTGGAAAATCAACACATAACTTAGAGTCAGCCCTCTGTGTCTCTGGTTCCATATCCTCAGATTCAACCAACTGGATCCTGCACTACTGCAGTGTTTACTGTTGAAAAAAGCTCGCATATAAGTGGACCCATGTTGTTCAAGGGTCAACTGTATTTTTGAATTATGATTTTTCTTCATGGGATATTCTTTGAAACTCATTTTCAATATTGCTGGATCTCTTATTTTTTTATTTTCATTTTAAAATTACTAGATCATAAACCCACAACTCTTTTCATCTTTGCACATTATTTTCCCCATTCATTCATAATTTTATGCTATTGTCATCTTAGCACACATGCTGTTTGGAATTCTGCTCATAAATAATTTTCATTCCATGTAATCTTTAAAATTATATTTGATGGCTTTTATGGGAATACCAGTGTATATACCTTATTTATTTAATCATTTGCCTACTGTTGAGGATTTGGATCTTTTTTTCAGTCTTGTAATTATGTAATACTGTATAAAATATCTTCAAAGCACTTTAGAAATATTAGACAGTATTAGACACCAACGTGCTTTTATTAGAATTCAAGAAGGAAGATTATTTCCATCACAGGCCATGTGAGATTCACATTGAAAGCCCCTGTGGATTTAGTTACTCTGCCCAAGTGTCTTGTTATTTATTTTTAAGCCCACATTTGAACATGTGAGTTTGAATTAAGATGGCTTTAACCTTGTTGCTTGCACATTTCTTACTAAATTAAACCCTAAATAAGATCTTGGGATCATCTCAACCTTCAAAGAGTAAACTGTCCACGGGTCTTACCAAGATGAATCAAATTTTTATCAGAAGAAATTACTCCTTTTATGATCAGAAAAATAAAACCCTAAGTAATAAAACCATAGGATCTACTTTTAGCCTGGTGAGGATACCCACAGATGTCAGGACGCAAGCCCCACGGTCCCTGCCCTCACTTCCCACCTGGAAAGCATCAGGAACTGCGTTTAGAACACTAGCCTCCGTGGCATCAGCATGACCAAGCCACCAGTGCTCTGCTCCCTGAGCAGTCTCTGCCCTTCCACCCGCTTGTCCTCAGTGCCTCTGCTGTGCCTCTGCTGTGCCTCCAGCTCTGAGGGCAACAGCTATGGTACTTGCAAAACCAGTCCCACCTTCTTCCTATTAAGTATTTCATTTGAGCACACACTGGATCCAACTGTCATAAACTACTCCCAGCCTCATTGCAGGACTCAGGATTCTAGTAAGAGATTTCATATATACTGGGAAAAGCACCGATTTTAGTGGAAGCAGGTCTTAGTAAGTTCCCAAGCTCTGTCTGGTGCTTGCTCTAAAACCTTGAGCCACAGGTGAGCCTCACCTCTAAAGCAGGATTAATAATGATTACCTTTAAGGGTGGTTGTGAGGATTAAATGAAGTAAGAAATATGCTCAAAGTACCTAAAACACTTTAATTATTTTGACATCAGCCTCCGTGCTATGGTATGGAAGCGGATGCGGGCATGAATATCATTCCCAAACTGAAAATCACATGGCATCTATCATTATTCTGCTTTGCCCCAAGTCATATATGTTGTTAAAGTTGTATAAGTTAATGACATTTTAACTGATATTTCTTCCTACTTCCTCCACCAGACCGAGGCAGCATCATCATGATGGAGGCCACATTTTACCTTCTTCATACGTTTTGCAAAACAGGGATTAGGTACTGAACTGGCTTTACCAATAAAGGGATTTGATGCAGATTAAATATATTATTAGATAACCAATCTTAAGGAGGTTTCAAGAGAATCAACCACAATAGTTCCACAGTAGTCTGTCTACTCTTTTGGATAAGAAGGCCCTTGTCTCATTTTAACCCAAATCTCAGGCGTCTGTTAGAGTTCTAGTTCTATGTTCATTCCTTCCTTCCTTCATTCATTCATTCAGTGAGCATTTATTGAGTATACGCTACTTCCCAGGCATTATTTCTTATTTCAAGAAAATGACTTCCAAAGATCTGAGAATTAGAAGCACACAAACATCTCCAATAACCAGGCCTGGAAGAAACTGCAAAACCAAGTAACTGTTGTAGGAAGAGGGCTGTGATGTCGTAGTTCAGTGGAAACCTGGGGTTGCTGCCAGCAGCTGCATGTGGTGACCTCAGCATGTGCTTTCAACTCTCTTTTTCCCTCTAAAGGGAAAGTGCTGGAGTAGAAGGTCTTTGTCCCCCTTTCAGCTATTACTCCACTGAGACTGGTTTTCAGTCTTCAGTGATCCCTATATATTCACAGAGTCATCAGAGATGCAGAGAAAAGAATGTGGTACAATGGTCATGCTCTGAAATGTCCACATGCTCCACATTCCTCACCTTGAAAACACCCCTGTGAGACGTGAACTGGCAGACATTGCAAAATGATGCCATATGTTTGTATGCATCTATCTCCACTTCATTTTGAAAGATGGTCAAGAGATACTATACACAAAAGGAGTCTTTGGAATTCCAGATTATGAAGATTTCAGAATCTTGAGAACTGACTATCTACTTGAAATGAGCTCAAATGAAACAAGAAAATTTACAGAAGAGAAGCATGAATATGACTCCCCAGGTTGTTTGGAAAACAAAAATATCTGAGCAGATATTAATAAGCTTATTTGTAACGAGGATGCACAAGTCCTTGGAAGTCACTGCTAGGATGGACAGAATGCTGACCACAGATGGTATGTCAGGTCACGGCCCTGCATGCTGGGGTGAATACCTGCCTGACTCGTCCTCTGCCCTTCTGTGTTCCTAGCCGTGTCTAGCAGAATGGTATCACTTCGTTCTCACAAAATAATCTAGAAGTTTTTAGAGAGTACATTCAAGTGGGAAGATGAGCCACTTGACAAGAGAAATTGGTAAATCACAATTCAGTTTTCTTTTCCTTTTTATGAACATTTTCCTTTCTTCAACTTCAAAATATTTGCTTCCTGGAGAAAAGGGAAACAGTCCCAAAGTACATAAGATAAAAAGTGGAAGATTTTCTGTTCTCCACCTCTGCCTCTTACCACTGCTGCCCAGAGGTGATCACTGCTAATGGTCTGGACTGTGTCTTTTTGGATGCTAACCCTACATGTACTCTTTCAGGAAGTAAGAGAGGAGGAAAGTTTTTGTAACTTAATTGATTCAGCCAGTATTTCTCTGACACTAAAACCAGAGAAAGAAATTGCAAAACAAAAAACTATAGAACAATGTCCCTCATGAATATGGCTGCAAAAATTCTTAACAAAATATTGTAAATAGACTACAGTACATAAAAAGGATAATACATCAAGACCAAGTAAGGTTTATTCTAGGAATGCATGGCTGGTTTAACATTCAAACATTGAATTAATTCACCATAATAACAGAATCAATGAGGGAAACTATATAATTCAACAGATGCACTCACATCAAAGAACTCTGACAAAATTCAGTGCTGAAGCATGATAAAATTTCAGCAAACTAAATATAAAAGGGCACTTCTTCAATGCGATGAGCCATCTTTGAAAGACCTAGAGCTATGAGCATATTTAATAAACAAACTTAGGTGAAATACCCTAAGTATTGAAAACAGGGCAAGAAGGATGACCGCTCTCTGTTTTTATTCAACATGGTACTAAATGTTCTAGTCAGTGCAGTAAGGCAAGTAAAAGGGAATAGATATTAAAAATTAAGAGGCAAGCCTGTGTTTATTTGCAGAAAACATGACTGTGTAAAAAATTCTTAAAACCCTACAAAAAAGCTACTGTAATAACTGAGTTTAGCAAAGCTGCAGGATATAAAGTCCAAATACAAAAATAAATTCTATTTCTATGTATTAGTAATCAAAAATTGGTCACTGAAGTTAGAAATACAGTATCAGTTAAAACAGAGCCCCAAATCATGAGATACTAGCAGATAAATTTAAGAAAATATATCACACAACCTGTGTGCTGAAAAGCATAAAACATCACTGAGAGAAATTAAAACCTAAAGAAATGGCAAAATACACTACGTTGATGGATTAGAACATGCAATATTTTTAAGATGTCAGTTTTTCCCCAAATGATCTGTAGATTCAGTGCAGTCCCAGACAAAATTCATATTGGTTCTAAAATTATATGCAAATGAGAGGAACTAACATAACTTAATTTCAAGGTTTACTAGAAAGCTAAAGTGACCACAACTGTAACAGTTGCCAGTCTTTTCTGTTATCACATCTGATTTGGGATCATAGTTAAAAGCCTTTCCTCACACCCAGATTAGAAAAGATTTCACTCTTGGTTTCTCCTAGTACTTGTGTGTTTTCATTTCTAAAATGTGTGTCTCTGATGCATTTGGAATCTTTTCTTGTGTACCCTGGGTTCAGTTTATCCTTTTCCAAATGGCAATCAGTTGTACCAACGACATTTGTGAAAACATCTATCTTTTCCAGGTAATATAAAATGCCACCTTTATTATATTACTAATACCCACATTTACCATGTTGCCTTTAATTTTTTAACAGATGTGTATTTTTCTATCTGGGTTGGGAGCTAACTAGTTTTTATAATCTACCTTTCCATTCAAAACAGGAACTCCCTTTGTCCCATCCTTCTGCTTTCCTGTGCTCACTCCTTACCGCCCATGTTCTTTTGAAATCGTCCGGTATTTTGGTTCCAATTTGGTTTTACCTTTGCTTTACTTGCTTCTTTGTTCGCTTTGTTTTTTTAACACTGTGGCTCCTACTAACTTGGAATGATTTGTTGCCAATCACATCAAGTATCACAAGAACTTTATCAGCAGTTTTCCAGCATTAGTTATAAATTATACTGGCATTTCTGCCCATCACTGCTTCGTGTAGCAAATTTGTTCCTACATTGTATTCATTTTCGTTTTTCTAAACCTACAGCATAACCTCAAGTAACTTTTCTGGAAAACTTTCATGAGTGGTAAATTTCATAAGTCCCTCTGACATTTTTTTCAGGGTTCCCTGTGCCAGTGAAGAGTCTTCCTGAAGCTTTGTATCATACAGAGTATTTTCATTGCCCTAAAATACTGTTTTTAGGGCACTCATTTCACTTATTTCTTTGTAGGCATTTTTTTTTCTTTTCTTTGTACTCTGAAGTTCATAAACTTACCATGAATTGACCAGACTTTGTTCTTCATTTTATTCGTGCTGCTTTGCATTCGGATAGTCATTTCATTCTAAAAACACAAATCTGTTTTTCGGCACAAGGAAATTTTCATCTAATTTTCTTTATTTCTTCTTTTTTCTCTTTGTTCTCTGTTTTAGAACTCCTTGCGAGCCATTAGATCTTCTCATCTGTCCTTCGCTATCTCTTAATTTTTTTCTAATAAACGTTCATCTGATTGACCTTCAGTACTGCTGTTTGGAAGAATCATTTCACTCAACTTTCCTGTTGATTTATTCATAGTCTTTATGTTAAGACTCATTTTCTGCCCATGTATAAGTGGGATTACCTGTTTGGCAATTACGTTTTTATTCTAATTAGTAACTTTTTATAGCAGCTTTTGAAGAGAGATGATAATCATCTCCGTACTCTCCCATGATGTACAATATTTATTTAGGACTTTCTTGTTCATTTTTCAGTTATTTTGGGGGGAGTTGGTTTTCCCTTTGTTTAGTTTGGTGCTTGTCTTTCGTGCTGTTAATTTTCATCAAATATTTGGTGATTCTTGTTTATTTAAATGTTAAATAGCATTGAAATCCTATTGAACATTTTTGGTTACTGAAGTGTATTTTCTCAAGACAAATGATAACCTCTGTTGCTCTTGTTTTCTTGATCTTCTCCTTCTCCTATGTGCAGTTACAGATTCTTCTCTTCTCGTGGGTTTCTGATCAATCTGATTTCATTTGACTTAAACTTCCTATAAAGTCCTCCTGTCCCAGTTTGTTGAGTGTACCCTTCTCAAAATCCAGTGCTATCATGGATTTATTCTTATTTTAATAGCTTTTGTTTTATTTCAGAACAGAGTGGTAAAGAGAAATAAAAATCCAATTCAGCCTTTTTTTATGAAAGAGTTATTTCCCCCCTGCATATAAGTCATGGCTGTTGGAAATAAGAGACAGAGGTCTCTGACGATGACCCTGGCTCAGCACTGAGCAGGACCTCACCTGGGGTCCTGCTGATGGGGTCCTGCTAGTGCCTCAGTGTCTGGGTCTCAACCTTGCACATTCAGTATTGCTCATCTTCTCATAACAGGCTAGTGCATAAACTTTGATACCAATGTATTAATTTAAAGCACAGTAATTCATTTTTTCACCGACTTCATTTGTAAAACAACTAACTGCATGAAATTTATGAACAGAACTCCTGGTTATTAGAATTAAAACACATTTTCCATTTAATTTTCTATACACGTTTAAAGCACTAAAGTTTAAAAATGAATTTTTTTAATTTTAGAATCAGCAGATTAAAGATACATTAAGATATTGCTTGAGAAATATAAATGTCACAAAAATAGAACATTCTGATTGGCCTGGCCAATGACTTATTTCTTTAGGCTGATGATCATAGAAAGCAAGATTATAACACAAGGTTGCTGGGTAACCTGAAATCAGAGTAAGAAGTGCCAGCCTTCAAGGGGCTGGAGAGTCATCTCGTAAGATAATAGATACCTTTATCTTTAGGAGAGGTTTGTACCTGCTAAGAGGACTACAGTTTCCCTATCAGTTAATTACAGTTCTGCAAACCACAGAGAGTGCAACACAGATACTGCAAGTATACCATCTACCCGACCCCCAGTTTTCAGTGTTTCCTTACAGCTGCCTCTGACAGTTCAGTTGCCACAGCTTTACCTACAGAAGTGATTCAACCTGCTCTGGGATCTCAAGCTTATAGAGGTCTCTGTACCTCTTACCCTCTAATAACCCCATAGGTGTCCAGGGCTGTATGCCCCATTTGGGGCTTATAGATGTCCTGACGTCTTACAGGAAGTTTGTTATCCTTAGACAGGAGCAGTTGGTGATGAGAAAAACCTTACAGTATAGCTGTGTACCACTCCTGTTGGGCCAACAATGAATGTGTGGAACGCTGGGTGGACACAGTCAGTCCTCTTGGGTTCAAGTGACAGGAGGATCTCCCTAGAGTTGAGGTCAGTCAGCTCCCCTGCCCCACCTTTTGAGATAATGGTGATTTTTCACCAGCGCCAATAACTAACTCAGCTCTCTGTTGACTCAGCTCTCTGTTTGCAGAAAATTAGCTGCATGAAATTTATAAACAAAACTCTATAAAAATAAAGCCATTCAGTTCTTTATGTAATGCTTAAAAGGCTGATACAAAACATTTAAATCCATAATATTTGAGATACGTTATTGGGTAAACTCAAGAGGATTCCTTCAAAATTTCCTTTGGAGAGTTTGCTCCAAGTCCCTGTCTTCCCTCAAACAAATCTCTATACCTGGTGAGGTCAGATCTGCCCACTTTGTTCTCCCAGTTCTCCTATAAGAGCTAAAAATGATTACATTATTAAACACGACACTTGCTATATGCGGGGGGGGGGGTGTTCTGAGCGCTTTGTAATAGAGAAAACATTTCTTTTGCAGTTGTGAAGACGATCTCTCCGAGGACAGAGATGAGCTCCTGCACGGGATTTCTGAGCTGGACATCAGCAACTCGGACTGTTTCCCGTCCCAGCTGCTGGTGCACGGGGCGTTAGCCTTTCCCCTGGGGCTAGATTCCTACCACGGCTGCGTCATAGCGGCTGCCCGCTATGGCCGGGGCCGGGTGGTCGTGACTGGCCACAAGGTCTTATTCACCGTTGGTAAACTGGGCCCCTTTCTGCTCAATGCTGTCCGCTGGCTAGACGGGGGCCGCAGAGGCAAGATCGTGGTGCAGACAGAACTGAGGACTCTGAGCGGGCTGCTCGCCGTGGGGGGCATAGACACCAGCATTGAGCCCAATCTGACCAGCGATGCGAGTGTCTATTGCTTTGAGCCCGTGAGTGACGTTGGGGTCAAGGAGCTGCAGGAGTTTGTAGCAGAGGGCGGGGGCCTATTCGTTGGGGCCCAAGCCTGGTGGTGGGCCTTCAAGAACCCAGGAGTGTCCCCTTTGGCTCGGTTCCCGGGAAACCTCCTCCTCAACCCCTTTGGCATCAGCATCACCAGCCAAAGCCTCAACCCCGGGCCCTTTCGCACCCCTAAGGCAGGAATAAGGACCTATCACTTCCGCTCCACCCTGGCCGAGTTCCAGGTGATCATGGGCAGGAAGAGAGGGAATGTGGAAAAGGGCTGGCTGGCAAAGCTGGGCCCGGACGGCGCAGCCTTCCTGCAGATCCCGGCCGAGGAGGTCCCCGCCTACATGTCAGTGCACCGGCTCCTGAGGAAGCTGCTGAGCCGCTATCGGCTCCCCGTGGCCACCCGAGAGAACCCGGTCATCAACGACTGCTGCAGGGGTGCCATGCTCTCCCTGGCCACCGGGCTGGCCCACTCGGGAAGTGACCTCTCTCTGTTAGTCCCAGAAATGGAAGATATGTACAGCAGCCAGTACCTGCGCCCCTTGGAATCTCCCATCACTGTTGAGGTCAACTGCAACAATCCAGGTGTGGAAGGAGGGGAGGGAGCCAGCGGGTGGGGACCTGGGGGACAGGACAGGGTCTGATTGCCTCCCAGGGGCCATCTCCATCCTCTGCCAGGCACTCTCAAGAAGATAGGGGTTGGGGGTTCGGGTAATGGAAGAGTGCAGCCAAGGGAGCACAGAAGGGGAGGCAGCATGCAGAGCTCTTGAAGGGACCCTGGAAGCTGGGTGGAGGTGGCGTCCTGGAGGAGGGGTGACGCCTGCTCCTCCTTTGCTTTTGGCAGGCACCAGGTATTGCTGGATGAGTACCGGGCTCTACATACCAGGAAGGCAAATTATAGAGGTCTCACTGCCCGAAGCTGCTGCCTCTGCTGACCTGAAGGTAAGGCATGCCTGATCTCGCTACGTACATAACACAGAACCTAGATGCTCCTGCTTTCACAGTCGGCATCTTGTTTGATCCTCCTACAAACCCTATTGGTGATACAGGGCACGTACATTTACCTCCATTTTAAGAACAGGGCAACTAAGGTACAGAACAGCTAACTGATTTAAATGTGTGGACCTGACACATTTCAGAGGCTAGGACTCAAACCTAACCAACATCTGGCTCAGGTCCCCGTGCTTTTAATTTACATCATAAGATGGGGAATAAGGAAGGTACCAAGTGGAAGGTGCCCTCGCACACAGTAGCGTCCAGTAAATCCTAGTTCACGTTCCGTGCTGTGTACATCTCACATTGGAGCACGAGGTCCTTCCGACGCCATCTTCTTCCCTGCGATGCCACAGACTGTTCCTCACCTGCCCAGCCCACCTTCACTGTCACTTTCACATACACACACCCTGTTCGCAAAATTAAGCTGCTGTCCTGCTCTGTCCCCTTTGAGGGTCACCCTGATATTTAGAGTCTGTTCTGTGCCTATATCTATCCTGGAACTTGTTTAGCATAAACCCGGGAAAACAGTCCCAGGACTCCTCAAAAGGCAGGGGTCACTCCATCGGCCCAGGAACGGGGGCCTTGATGAATGGGAGGAAGGGAATCAACCCTCCGCTCATCCATTGATCACACTGCCTTCCCGCTGGGCCTTCTCTCTGGTCAGCAAAAGGCAGGATCCCCTCTGCCCACTCCCAAAGCCAAAATCACCACCAGGGAATAGGCAGCCTACAATTCTGCTACAAAGACACCAAGGGATAATGTGTTTGAGTCGCCCGCCTCAGAATTAGCCTGTGGTCACACCTGTTGCCCCTCACACGGCGTCTCAGCATGACCCTTTGTGGAGCTGTTTGACCCCCCCCCCACAAGAGGGGATTTACACACCTGGTCCATGTGACCTCAAAGGATGGGTTTAGCAGATATGGTTCATAAGTGGTGAGATGCTTGGGCTTGCATGGGGCCCTATGACCCTTCCTGTCCCCACATCCTGGGCACTTCCCCCTTCTGACTACACACACCCCATGGTGATTTGGGGGATCTCTCTGCTCCAGGTACAGATTGGCTGCCACACTGATGACCTGACCAGGGCCAGCAAGCTGTTCCGAGGCCCACTCGTGATTAACCGCTGCTGCCTGGACAAGCCCACGAAGTCGATCACCTGCCTCTGGGGCGGCCTCCTCTACATCATCGTGCCTCAGAGCAGCAAGCTGGGCGCTGTGCCTGTCACCGTTAAGGGGGCTGTGCGTGCCCCCTACTACAAGCTGGGTGAGGGGAGGCCCCGGAGCCAGCCCCGAGGGACGGGGAGAGCTGGGGGTGAGGCGGTCATCTGGGGCTGCTGGTGTAGGAAGAGACGCAGACTGGTGGAGGGATGGGAGGTAGCCTTCCATAGCTTCAGCTTTGGGACAAAGGAGATGAAGACCAAACCACTTCGCATCCACGGGAACTTTGCAGAAGAGGGACAGAGGTGGGGTCGGGCTGTTCATGGCCTTGATGTTCTCCTCCTGGTGTTCAAGTTGCACGTGTTAATGTCTAAGGGGTTTGAGAAAGTGAGTTTCAAGCCCTGTGGCCTCTCTTCCAGGGGAAACATCCCAGGAGGAGTGGAAAAGGCGTATCCAGGAGAATCCAGGCCCCTGGGGAGAGCTGGCTACGGACAACATCATCTTGACTGTGCCAACTGCCAACCTTCGCACTCTGGATAACCCTGAGCCACTGCTTCGCCTCTGGGACGAGGTGATGCAGGCCGTGGCCCGGCTGGGGGCCGAGCCCTTCCCGCTGCGTCTGCCTCAGAGGATCGTGGCTGACGTGCAGATCTCAGTTGGTGGGTACCCGGGGCGAACCTCTGTGCATGCTGCCCCTTGGGGCCTTCCTGTTTTACAACATCCACGCAGTGGGCAGCCACCAGGGTAAAAATGTTTTTCTAGCAGGACATAGATGTAATCCTTGCTGTTTAAATCAAAAGGGAAAAATACATTAAAAAAAAAAAAGACTTGGCCATCTTCCCAAGCAGAATAATTGGAAACTACCTAAATGTCCAACATTTGTAGAACAGTTATGTAATGTATTATGTGTACCTTCAATGGACATTAAGGAAGACATTTAAAGTGATATTTTGATGGCTAAAGGAAATATGATGAGATTATGTGACCAAAAAAGCAGATCCTAGAACTGTAAGTATGGAGTATGTTAAAATATGTAACCATTTAAGTCAATATGTCAAGGGATGCTGTCAGCCAGTCGGGATGGTGCAGAAAATACATGCAGGGCTTTGACAGATGTCCATCAGGGGACATCGAGGGGTGGCTAAAAATGGCGGAGGGCCTCTTCCTAGATCACAGTTGCTGGAAGAAAGAATTTAACAACTTCGAGAAGGCACTGAATAAAAAGATCTTTGCCAGTGGGTCAAAAGCCCTAAAAAATGAGGGGGAGGTATAGAAATTTAAGAACCACGGAAATCTCTCTGGACGCTAGCTTGCTTGGCTTACATAGGTGATCAGTGTAGAGTAGTGTCAGGTGGGCAAGTCCACTTCTAAATAATGAGAAGGGGACATGCCTTCAACAAGTTCTTAATTCTGAGAAGGGAGTGTAATGACAGGTTCAGGTGGACAAGGCACTCTCCTAGAAACAGAAGAACTGAACAGTAGCGTGAGCGGCGATATATACCTGCCTCACCTCCCACAGCCAGGCAGAGTGAGGATGCAGGCATTATTACAAAATGAGAGGAGGAGGAGGAAAGCCTGGGAGGGTCTGGGTTTGGGTTGCCTTTCTGAGCATCACCGAGTTCTGGAAGTCATTGGGGATGACGGGGAGTTTCGGGAGATGCAAGTCAGAGAAGAATTCTGTAAGGTGGGTGGGAAGCATTCTAACCTTCTTTTCCCTGTCCTGCCTTTCCCAGGCTGGATGCACGCAGGGTACCCCATCATGTGTCACCTGGAGTCGGTGCAGGAGCTCATCAATGAGAAACTCATCAGAACCAAGGGTCTCTGGGGCCCTGTGCACGAGCTGGGCCGCAACCAGCAGCGGCAGGAGTGGGAGTTCCCTCCGCACACCACCGAGGCCACCTGCAACCTGTGGTGTGTCTACGTGCACGAGACGGTTCTGGGCATCCCTCGCGGACGAGCCAACATCGCTCTGTGGCCCCCAGTTCGGGAGAAGAGAGTCAGAATCTACCTGGGCAAGGGTCCCAATGTGAAAAACTGGAATGCGTGGACGGCCCTGGAAACGTACTTGCAGGTGCTGGGCCAGCACGGGGGGTGGTGGGAGCCCCACTGCGGGGACCCTGAGCATATGGTTTTGCGACGCCCAGGGGCCCTCACACTAATCTGCTTCCCACACCAGGCTGAGGGAGGCCCTGACGCAGCCCAGGTGTGTGGGTCCTGGTAGCCGATGCCACTCAGGGAGTCACTTTGTATGACCCTGAAGTGGACTTAATTATCTCAGCCCCACCATTCACCCCGGAATTTTTAAGAGATTATGAGAGTAGATAGAAAGCACTGAGAAAAGGTTAAAAAATGTTAAGAGGCAAATGTAATACTACAAATAAACTTACTATCACTGGCTTTAAACCCAGACACACCTGAGACTGAAGCCAAACTGTGCTACTTAAATAGCTCCCTAAAACTAAACACACCCCCTCCTCACGCACCCACCACCCACTCACACACACAATATGTGGGATAGAAGCTATTTTTTCCCCTAGATAAATACCATCTTCTCCTTATGACTTGCCTGTGCCTCAGTTTCCACCTTAGTAGCAAGCCAGGATTCCTCACTGGCCTGGACATGGGGGTGGCCTCTGCCTTGGAGTTATCATTCAACACCCCAGTTCCGGCCCCCCAGTCCCTGGATCAGTTCCCAGCTCACTATGGGGAGTTGCATCACCTTGGACTCTGGACCTCAGGCTCAGGCCCGGCACACACTATTCTGGTCCTCCCAGCTGCTTAAGTTCTCTCTGTCGATTCCCTCCACCATGAAACTGACAGTGAAGCTGCCAGGAGACTCTGCTTTAACCGTGTCATTGGGGCCACTTCACCCCAGGGACAGGAGTTCCTCATCTGTGAAACCCAGCTGAGGATGGAAGTGCTAATGTCTCTCTGAGCTCCCAAGTGTCCTAACCCAGCCTAACACGGCCTCTTTCCACCAGCCTCAGGATGGCTGCCTTTTCCCAAAATGACGCCTTACTCTTAATTCTTGCTACCTGGGCTGTGTGTTGTCTTCTGCTTCTATTGAACTCACTTTTTTCCCCAAAAGCCATTTTAGTCGCCTTGCAAATTGACATGGACCTATGATTAGTACAGATTATGGCAGAATAGGGGTGGGAGTTTACCTTTGCAACTATGAAAGACAATGGATTTTTTCACTTCAACCAGTTTTAAATCTTCGCGTAATATCCTACCACTACTTTTATGATCTAGTGAGACAGATGAGTAAGTGGTAGTAAATCCTGACAATATTCACTGCAGTTATCCACTGTCTGCTTTGTGCTGAGCGCCGTGCTCGCTCAGAGGCCCTTCTCATCCTCAGACCATGACAGCAGCAAGCAAGGCCAGCAGGTCAAACAGGAGAGGGTCGGTGATGGGTGTGAAGCTGGAGATACACGAGTCCATTCAGAGTGTTGGTCAGGTCTCCTTTCTGTAGCCCAGATGTCTCATCCTGCTTCTTCCTTCTCTCTCCAGCTCCAGGAGGCCTTTGGGTGGGAGCCATTCATCCGCCTCTTCACTGAGTATAGGAACCAGACCAACCTGCCCACAGACAACGTTGACAAAATGAACCTGTGGGTGAAGATGTTCTCCCACCAAGTGCAGAAGAATCTGGCTCCATTCTTTGAGGCCTGGGCCTGGCCGATCCAGAAGGAAGTGGCAACCAGCCTGGCATATCTGCCCGAATGGAAGGAAAATATTATGAAATTGTACCTCCTCACACAGATGTAAGGAGTGCCCAGCGAGGTGGCAGGTAGAGAGGTCTGGGGAGGTAGGCAGAGATGGGGATTCACTCCTCCACCTCTGTCTCTTAGGTCCTAGCCTTGCCCCCTCAGGTCACTGCCCCTGGATCTCAGCAGTATCTCTCGGGAGTGGGTTAAGAAAACAGAAAAAAGTGGAATCAGAATTTCTTAGGAGCAGAGCCTCATTCCTCTGCTGTCAGCCATCAGGTTCCCTCCTGCCCCTGGACTGGGCCCGTGCTGAGAGCATTGGCCCCTGCTTCTAGGCTGGCCCTTGGTTCACCATCAAGGGCCACAGCCCATAGAGGGTGGCTCTCCTTTTGACATCCTGAGGACTCTCTGGGCTCTTATTTTTAATCATGTCCCCCCAGACCTGACCATAGAACCCAAATGAAACACAAATTTACCATGATACTCAGATAGCTCCCTGATAACTCATATATTTTGTATCCTGGGTGGCTTGAAAAGCAGTCTGGTGTGGTCGGAAGGGCCTGTAACTAGGGTTAGCTCTTAGGAAAGTCATTTTGTCCCTGAACTCCCCTTTCTTTGTATGTGAGGTGAGGGTTAAGATCCCTGCCTCACAGGGCTGCCATGAAGACTCTGGTAATTCTGAGGAGCTGTGTGGCTCCCGTGCCTGCACTGTAGGGCGTGGTTTTATTTTATGCTGGTCCAGAGTAGTGAGCTTCCTACTCCCCGTTGTCTTCCCAAAGCCCAGGGGTTAAGGTCATCATCTCACAGATGACTCCCCACATCCAAACCCTGGTTCTTTCACCAGTTAGTTGTATGACTCCGGGCAAGCTCCTTAACTTCTCCGTGGCTCGATTTCCTAATCTGTAAAATGGGATCTGTTTCATAGGATTCTTGTGAGGATTAAATTTTAGTGCCTCTAAAAGTGCTTAGAACAGTACTGTCAGTGAGTAGGTACTGAGAAGATGTCAGCTCTCACTATTTTTATCAGATCAACTCAATATCGTTTTGGAGCAGGACTGCACTTTTAAGATGGCATTTACAGGTGCAGGGAAGTCATCCTGTCCCGTCCTGCACTTTATACAGTGACTCTGAAAAGATTCTGGTACATTGCCCTGTGGTCTAAAGGAAGGTCTCTAAATCCACAGTGGGGTTCTGAACCTACTTGGAGAGTTTGGTCTCCTTCTTCAACTCCCTTTTTCAGGTAAAATCTCTTCTTTCGTTAAGTCAAGAGTGGAGGTTGCCTGAAAACCCGGGACAGTTGCATGACAGTGTTTGTCCTTAGCAAACAAGGGACATCCGGTTTAGTAACAGCGTTTGTATTTCCGTAGTGACACAGATTCCGATTGCTGTTTGGCAGATAGAAGTCCAGCACAAATAGAAACCTTTACTTTGGAACAAGATAACTGGATACCGCCCGCCCGATTTCATTTAATTACAGTGCATTCAAAGATTTTCTTCACTTTTCTTCCAATCTTATTCAGAACCTCTCGTTTCTTCGACGTTTCCCCTAGAGTTGAGGCTCCAGGATTATTGCTGCGTACATCCACCCAGTTTCCCTTTACTCACTTATTTTAATTGTTTTAATGCACTTTTTTCTTCCCTTTATTGGGAATTGGGTGGATGCACAGACAGTAGGATTTGACCTGGACAGTGTTTTTCTTTGAATTCTTTTATCCTGTTATTTCTCGGTCCTAGAATTATTTTCCCTTATTTCATAAACATCTATCATCTGGATACTTTAAACATAGGCGCTGAATGAACATTCAACATTTAACTAACTGCTATCAACTGGTGGGTTGTTGAGTGTGTGCAAAGTATAGATTGTTACATTTAATCTTCACAGGAATCTTACGGGATGGAAACTTACTGCTCCCATTTTACAAATGAGTGAACTGAATTTTACAGAGATTGAGTAAATTGCCTAAGCCTTTACTGCTAGTAAGTGATAGATGTGGGATTTGAACCCAGGCATTCTGATTACAGACTAGGTGTTAGTAACTACAGTGCTTTGAACAACCAAATAAATGAGTAAGTGAAGAAACCAACCAGCAAGTAGAAGGACCTTTATGTCCCTACTTGCCAGGACTCTGGCTGCCCCTCATCTGATTTTATCAGAACAGGAAGTCCTTCGTTTATCCCAAATGCCGGTTCAAAGGAAGACTTAAGGCAGGCTCCTGACATGCTTCCCAGTGGACAGGGCTGGATGACCCCTTTAGTCTTCTGAGTTCCAAGTTCTTCAAGTTTCAGTCCTTCCCTCTAGGGCACCATGAAAGCATCCTGCTAGCTTACTGGATTTTGAATGATGGGCTATTTTGGTAAAGTGTCTGACTCCTAAAAGCCCCAGACACTGCATGTTTTCAGAAAAGAAATCAGATCCTCAGTCATTTAGAACAATATTTATATCCATTCTTGCCCTCTTTAATCCATTTTCAGCAGTACAACCATGGGGACCTTTTAAAAATATCAAGTTATTCATGTCAATCTCCTTGTCTAAAAATTTCCAGTGGGACTTTGAATTTAAGATGATGAACTGAACATGTAAGTTTACTTCCCTCCCTCCCTAGGCCCCACTGAAACCGAAGTCAAGAAACATAAAAGAGAATTGACACGTCTCAGCCAACAAAACTGAAGGGATTGGTTATTAGTAAAGAAGATCTCAACACATTTCTGGAAGAGAGAAAGTGGATGAAGCGATAATGAAGGAGTGAAGCTCCCTTTCAGACAGAAAATAAGCTGATCTGAACACATAACCCCAAAGAGACTTGGGCATCTGAAAAGTCTATCTACTAAAGAATTATATTAATTGTGAAGTTGAACCCCATCCCATTCTACCCAAACCTTTGTGCACAGAACACGGGCATTCTACCCTTGGTTTCAGTTAAAAGTCTATTGTTGTTTGTATAAAGGAATCGAATAAACTGCCTGAGGTGAGGTAGGAGTTGGTGTTCCAAAATAAAACTTCTCTTTTTGTGGAAATAAGTAATCCCCTAGCCCATTAGCTAATTCTGTACTGACAGTTGAGATCTTGGTTACTCAAGTAACCAAGTGCTTCTAGTCATAGAAGGGTTTGCTGGAGAAGCAGACTGACCACACAGTGGCAGAGGGAACCCACAGCAAATCCCATAAACATCAGCAGTCATACTAATTCTTCAGTGCAAATGGTCAGCTAGGAATTCCCAGACACTGAGCCTTGGGAGCAGGGGTTGGGGAAGGAACCAAGAGAGAATTATATAAGAAAAATAACCAATTAGAATCAGGAGATTTGAAAACACAGCAAACTCTGGGGGAAACAGAGTTAACATGGAAAAAAGATTACTTAAAAATCTAACTATATCATCAGAGAGATCTGAGGTGTATTTGTTAGATAAAAACACGATGCTACAAAGAAGGGGAAACCCTGAAAATAAGAAGAACCCTAAGGCGAAATAATTTTCCCTAATGTGAAATAACTTTCCCAAAGGTGAAATATTTAGAGACAGGCTGGAATATAAAGTCAAGCTAATCTCCCTAGATAACAGAGCAAAAAGAAACAGAAAATATAAAGAGAGGGAAGAGACATAGACAATCGATATCTAACTGTTAGGAGTTTCTGGAAGAGAGAACAGAAAATGTAGGTGAAGAAATGAAAAAATGAAATGAACAGAAAGAACTAAGTCTCCAAATTAAGGGGACCCCATTTAACATACATGTAGACACAATCTTGTGAAAATTTGGAACATTAAGGATAAAGAAGGCAATGAAAGTACCGAGAGAAAATAAAACTAGGTCATAATTAACTCAACTAAAAAGGGATGAAAATAGACTGGGAGCAGATTTTTCATCAGCAACACAATGCTAGGAGCCAATAGAGAAGTGTCTTCACATGGAAAATCCTTGTACCCAGAATTCCACAGCAAGCCAAACTGTCAAGAGTCAAGCCAAAAGAAAGAAATTTTCTGACATGCATGTTTCCAGAAAGTCTACCTTCTTTGCACCCTTACTGAGAAAGTACCTTGAGGAAGTTCTCCAGCAAAATGAGGATGAAAATCGGGAAAGAGGAAGAAGTGGAATCCAGAAAACAGTGGACTTCACCCAAAATGTCTCACTCCAGAGTGGCAGTCATCCAACAGGATGGGCTTACTCCAGAGTGACAGTCATCCAACAGGATGTCTCACTCTGGAGTGACAGTCATCCAACAGGATGGCTCACTCCAGAGTGACAGTTATCCAAGAGACCCATTTCAGATGAGAGTACACAGTCTTGGGCTCCCTGGGGAGAATATGCATTATGTACCATAGGGAGTATCACTGAGAAGCTGGAATGTTTGAGAATACAGAGGAGATACATTCTTCAGTCAACAAAAAGAAAACAAAACAAAAATACGTCAAATTCAGGTCCAATTATGCAACAACAGCAAAAAATACTCATGGAATGTAAGATGAGACTCGATTTGACAGCAGCGGTAGGTACATTTCATTTCAAGTGACACAGGAATCATGACACTGGATATGTATGGAAGAAAATATCCTAGCTTCTACTTAGCTCTCAGTAAACAGTATGTACAAAGTCAAAATAATGTAGATATTATTTATTGGTATTTGGTGTTCTGATCAGCCTATAGACAAAATATGAAAGGCTTAATTTTTTATTCAGAAATGAAATTCAAAGTAGTTAATCCTGACAAGGAAAAAGAAAGCAGGAAGAGATTGAGGATTAGTTGTGGGCGGAGGTGGAGGGGCGGTGGTGGGGTGGAGTGGAAGGAAGACTAGAATTACTTATCTATTCAAAGTGAAAAGATCAGTCAATGGGACAAGAACTAAAGAATTAGCTACTGTTCAAAACTATAAATGAAACCAACCTAGGTATTAAAAATGACATCTATCAAAAATTTGGGAAAGGATAGGCAAATGAAAGGTGGGAATTGCGTACGTTAAATCCTTATCTTTTGTAATGGGGAATTATTAAAGATTGTCTAAAGTTAATAAGTCAAGAAATTATTGTTCAAACATATTATTTAATGTTAGGAAGTTAGTTAACAGAATATCTAAAAATAGAAATTGTTAAATGCATTGCGTCTAGGGTACGGGACTAGGGTTAAAAGGGTGGGGTGGGAAACCGTGTTTTTCATTTTAAGTCCTCTGTACTATTTAATTTTTTACCTTGTGCATGTATTTGAAAAATTTTTAATAAATTCAAATAAAAATCCTTCCGTGGCTTCATATTGACCAAGATACAGTCCAACCAATACCCTTAAAATGGCTTATAAAGCCCTTAAGTGTTTGGGTCCACTTGATGTGCCCTGGCTCATCATATCCCCCATGACTCTCTAGTTCTAGCCACACTAACCTCCAACTACTCAGACACACTACCCCTTCTCTTGTTGCTACACATGTTACACAAAAACAGAGCCTGTCCCCATCTCACCGTGTGCCTGTGGATTAAGTATACCGCCTCACAGGTTTTCAGTCTCCTGCTGAGTGAATGAATGGGCGTTCATGAAGATCGCCAACTAGCGTTCTTTCCTGAGAAAGCGCATGATATTTGTGTCTAGTCGTTTCCAGACTGTCTTGTAAGCTTTCATGAACTCCTGTTCATCTGACAGTTTTGTTAAGTGTTAGTCATGTATGAGACCAGGTGGTGTCAGAGGATTTCTGTCTGCCATTCTCCTTGGTTTGTTCTTTGCCACATTGCTTGAACATCATATTCAGTTTAGTTTTCAGGATAGTTTCCAGCTATTTTCCCCTGTAGTTGGGAGAAAAAGTCAACTATCTAGTGGGCATCTTCCCAAGTTTTGTTGTATCCTGCTGTGCCTGGTCTCTTGCTGGCTCTCCTCCTTCTCCATTAATTTACTTTCTTCTATTGTCTAACTCCCAAGGCCAACTGGATCTCTCTAATGAGTATTAGCCTTACTGCCAATCTTCAACAGCTGTATTTATTGGAAATCCCTCCCGTCTCCTTTTCATAAGATCATTCTCTAATATACCTAAATCATTGTCCCCACCCAGTGTCACAATCTCACCTAATACATGTACTTAACAGGCCAGTAGGTAATCAGATGCAGACTTAGTTGTTGACTCTTGCTGCCAAAAGTAACACATCCTTCTTTCAAAATGACTTCACTCCTATGTTCTTTACTCTTTCAAAGATTTTGGACCCTACTTGGCTTCCATTTTTGAAATAGATTTCTTTCACTGACCCACAATATTAGAGTCAGTCTTCTAAAGCATGGTAGGGAAGGGATGGGGGTGACCCTTAACTTTTCAGACATCTTCTAACTACATATACACAAAAACAATTCCATGTCTAATTCAATAGCATTATAGCAATGTTATTTATTTGAATTCTTGTGATTTAAATGCTGTAAAGTAGAATTACTTTGATAGGAAAGCTTGGGAGGTTTACATTATTGTCAATGTTTGAGTATCATTTTGGGTGGCTGGCTTCG